GGTGGCTTCTCCCTGTCTCCCCATAGGAGCTGTCACCTGAGGTGGTGAAACCAAGCAGCCCTCTGGCTTTCCCACCTGTACATGAACCAGAGAGGCTGGAGGCAGCAACACTGCTGCTTGGCTCCTCGGTGACACCCAGCCCTGACGCAACCAGTGATGGGACCCACTGGGGACACTCCCAAACAGCATCACCTGCTCTCATACAAGCCACCCTGAGCTTCCCTGACTCTTTTGTGTTCCTGATGATAGGAAACACGGCTCAGGCCTCCGTAGTCCAGGCTGGAGCCAGCCCAGGCAGAGGTGAAAGCCTCTGTCTCCAATTAGCCATTTCCTGAGCCGACCAGTCACCCAAATAATCGTCATCGCTTTCTATTCTTAGGCACTGAGGAATGTGCACGAATTAGCAGGGACCGCACTAAATAAACCTGGGAGCTGGGAGCGAGAAGCAGGAGGGAGAACTGGGAAAAACATCAAGGCTTCCTCGGGGACACAGCCAAAATCCACGTCTCCCTTATCCCACTTTGCCCCTCACTTATCCGGGGTGCAGCGCTGTGGTACCCGGGACATCACGTGCCGGTGATGGCCTCAAGCAGTGATTCCCGAGGGTTTGCCATAGCAGTGGGACCAGTGGTTTTAATGGGATTTGGGAAACCCAGGGGGGTTGACCTCCACCACCTCCCCTAGGGACAGGGAGAGTCCCACCAGGGAAGAGGGATCTGAGCATCCCTTCATCTTCCCTGTACCCCTGAAGAGGAGCCTGAGGCTGCGAAGCTCTTGGCTGCCTTTAAAAAGCTGCTTTTCAGCAACCCCAAGAACAAAGTGCTCTGGGATGTCCCTAAAGACATGAAACATCCCTGCAGCCCTGCTGGGACGTGGGCCACGGCCACTCAGGCCTGTCCCGGCCACCCCGGCAGATTTTTGCCGGGAGACGTTGAGTCACCCGCCCGGGGGAGGAGAGCTCTGCCTCTGCACCGGGGAGGCGGCACGTGCCTGCGCATTGTATAAATATTTACAGCCCGCATTCATATTTGTTATTTGACATTAGCCATGGCCCGCGGCCACCACGGCCTCCCTTGGGCCATTAATCACTGGCTGGAGGCTGACCCACCACGGTGGAGATGATGGAGGGATTATAGGGGGGCTGGTACCCTGCTCCCAGCTGGCACTGTCACCTCCAGCGCCCACAGCACCAGCCACGGTGTCACCACTCCAGCACCCAATGGCATCCCCAGGGAGAGGGGTCCTGTGGGGGCTCAAGGGGGCTTGTTGTTCCTTTGGGGAGCTGAATGTGGCTCAGGTTTGGTTGCTTCCCAGCCAAATGTGATGGTCAAACCCTGTCCCTACCCTGGGGCACAGCTGCATCCCCAACCCACCTGCAAAGGCCCCATCCTCCAAACCAAAAAACATGTGCAAGTAACTACTAGCAGACGAAAAAAACCCAGCAAAAGCTGCAGGGACACTGAGCTGACTCCTCCCCAGCCACCTCTCCAGGCTCAAAGAGCCTTTTGGCACAAGAGGAAGCTCCTCCATTGCCACTGGGCATCACAGCCTCCAGCAGCTTCACCTCCAGCTCCAGCACCTCTCGCTGGGGCTCTGGGCTGGGTGTGTGGGAGGGATGTGACACCAACACTGCACCAAAGATCTACTACATTTGCAAAGCTTGGTCCCAGCCCTGCCTGGTTCAGAGCCCTCCCCCAGCTATTCCCACCCCAACTCATAAATCACATGACGACGCTATGAGTTGATGGACCCAAGGTGAGAGCTGAGTCCCAGCACCCTGGGCACCCACCCTGACACACAAGTGGGAACCAGCACTCAACCAGCACTCACCATCCCATCTCCTTCCCCTAAAACCACCCAAAATGTGAAGCATCCATCAGACATCACATCATTGACATTTTCCCCAGCCTTTTGCCAGAAATCTCACTTTTTTGGAGGTTTTATTTTCTATTTCTTCTCCCTCCTGTGCCCTCAAAGACAATGAACAACGTCTGTGCGGCGCTGAACACAATGCTGAGCCTTTCCCACTCCCACATGTATATTATTTTTTTTCTATCCTTTTTTTTTTTTTTTTTTTGTTCCATTCTGTAACTTCAAAACTCCCTTAACTTTGGAAAGATTACACAGCAGCACAAGTACAAAAGAAAACATTATAAATTTGCCACTCTGTAATTTTTCCAAAGCGGGAGACATTCTGAAAGGTTACAAGATTATTAGAAAAAAAAGGGGGGGAGAGGGAAAAAAAGTGTGTGTCTGTGTGGGAAGAGAGAATAAATACCCTCCTTGGCTCCTCAGGAGCCATCCCAAGATTGGGAAAAAGTTCAGAATGCTGAAATTTTGGCTCCGAAGAAGTATCCTTCAGGAATTAAGTAGTGAAAGAAGGAAAGAGAGAAAGAAGGAAAGAGAAGGAAAGACAGACAGAAGGAAGGAAGGAAGAAGAGAGGGAAGGAAGGAGGGAAGGAGGGAAGGAAGGAAGGAAGGAAGGAAGGAAGGCAGGAAGGAAGGAAGGAAGGAAGGAAGGCAGGAAGGAAGGAAGGAAGGAAGGAAGGCAGGAAGGAAGGAAGGAAGGAAGGAAGGCAGGAAGGAAGGAAGGAAGGAAGGAAGGCAGGAAGGAAGGAAGGAAGGAAGGAAGGCAGGAAGGAAGGAAGGAAGGAAGGAAGGCAGGAAGGAAGGAAGGAAGGAAGGAAGGCAGGAAGGAAGGAAGGAAGGAAGGAAGGCAGGAAGGAAGGAAGGAAGGAAGGAAGGCAGGAAGGAAGGAAGGAAGGAAGGAAGGCAGGAAGGAAGGAAGGAAGGAAGGAAGGCAGGAAGGAAGGAAGGAAGGAAGGAAGGCAGGAAGGAAGGAAGGAAGGAAGGAAGGCAGGAAGGAAGGAAGGAAGGAAGGAAGGCAGGAAGGAAGGAAGGAAGGAAGGAAGGCAGGAAGGAAGGAAGGAAGGAAGGAAGGCAGGAAGGAAGGAAGGAAGGAAGGAAGGCAGGAAGGAAGGAAGGAAGGAAGGAAGGCAGGAAGGAAGGAAGGAAGGAAGGAAGGCAGGAAGGAAGGAAGGAAGGAAGGAAGGCAGGAAGGAAGGAAGGAAGGAAGGAAGGCAGGAAGGAAGGAAGGAAGGAAGGAAGGCAGGAAGGAAGGAAGGAAGGAAGGAAGGCAGGAAGGAAGGAAGGAAGGAAGGAAGGATCTCTGAAAAACTAAATTTTTGCATTTTTTTGTCAAGGCAAGCAGGGTTTTCCCACGAAAGTGAAGCTCTGCCACCAGGACAGTCTGCTTTTCCTGCAGGAGAACTTTTTCAATCCATAAAACCTGCCCATGGCCAAGATGCAGGTGCTTCCAGCCCCTGCCAAGGTATGAGGGTCTGAGCTTTCAAGCTAAGAAAAGAGAAGTTTTAAAATGATAAAATAATTATCTTCCTGTCTCAGTTTGCTCCTGCAAACTCCTTGCTGGGGTCTGCCCTGCTCATCTCCCTGCTCGTGGGGACCATTTGAAATCCAGGTCCCAAAGCCAGGTGGGGTTTTTTTGGAGGGATTTGCCAGCCTGGACTCCCTTCAGCCCTGCATCCCTACATCCCCTCACTCCCCTTCCTGTACCAATAATCAAAGAAACCCTTTTTCACCCAAAGCTGCCTGAAATGAGCCCAAACTGGACGGCGCACACAGACACATCATGCCCCACATCCCCAGAACTGGGCAATTTTGCACCAGGCAAAGGGAACTTGATTCTGATGAAGATGTCGAGAGCCCTGCTGGGGGAAGCCAGGGTCTCGCCCAGCCCCACCTCCCCACCCCACCAGGCTTCGGGAGCTCATTAGGGCTCATCAGAGGGCAGGAGCATCCCCGGCATCGCCGCCAGCCCGCGCCGGGGGGTTTGTGGTGAGGGGCAGGAGGCTGAGGCGCTCGCCCCGCGCCTGGGGCGATGTTTTTTATTCCGTTGTGGGTGGGATTTTCCAGCGCTGGCTGTTGGGCCCCGTTCCGCTCCAGCTGCAGCTTTATTCTCCATTTCAAAGGCAGCAGAGGCAGACGGTTTCAACGCCACTGCCATTTCGAGCTTGCCAAAAACAGAGGGGAGGGGGGGACACCACCAACCAAACACCCCCCAAACACCCCGTTCCCCCAACGCCGGGACTGGCAAGTACCCACCCAAGGGGCAAAGGGCTGTGACCAAGGGCGGTGGGGGAGGCGGTGGCAGAGGCACCAGGGTCCCACTCTTGTGCCCTATCCCACGGGTGACAGCAAAAGGGGGGATAAAGCAACAGCTCATATATTTTTAGAGTCTGGATTGAGCCTCTTTCCTCACTTCCTTATTTTTAAATTATTTTTTTTAAATAATAATAAATAATAGAAAGATGGTTTTACCCAGAAAGTCCCAATAAATTTGAGGAGGGGGCCAAGAAATGGCAGCAAAAACCTGCCAGAAAGCCCCTAAACAAACCAAACCACTGTCTTTTTTCTCTCTCCTGCAAGGGCTTCAGCTTTTGCTTTCAAATTAATTTTATTCTTTATTTTTATATAGGCATATATATTAACAGCCTGCCTGTATAGGGACGTGTGTGTAGCTGTTGGCAGACACGTGGAGTTTCCACTCGGCCTTAATGCCAAATTAAAGCTTTATAACTTCAGTAGCTCTTTTTACCAGGGTATTAATAACCACCTCAGACACTGTGGTGCAGTTTATTAATCATTTGTTCACCCTGGGAGCTCCTGAGGGTGACTGGTGCTGTGGGATGGGCACAGGGCATGGGCAGCTCCAGTGCAGCTGATGACATCCCAGCAGGAAGGGATGGGGGCTGGGAGTTGGCCAGAGAGGAGCAGGATGTGTTGGGGGGCAGCCTCCTGCAAATTGGCCCAAAATAAATAATTTGAACTCAAGATCCTGAGCCAGGGGCTTAGGATGGGGATGTCATGCCGGGGATTCCGTGCCAGGGATGCCATGCTGGGGGTCCCTGGGCAGGTGCTTGCATGTGGATCAGGGAGGAGGGGATGTCTGCATCCCACCACATGATGGAAACCACCACACGATGGAAATCCCCCCACTAGCCCCACACACCCACCCAGCTCTCCTGAAAACCAGTGGGATGTGGTGGATGCAGCCACTGCACTTGGCCCTGCAGAATGACAGCACATGGATGAAGGATGAGAAGCCACGAGTTGCAGAGACGACCTGGGGGGGTTCCCAGCCTGGTGACCCTCACACCCAGACCCTGCTCTGCTCCCCTCACCCAGGGTTTTGCTTCCCCAAACCTGACAGTGCCCCAAAAGGGTTGTTTTTTCTGCCTCCATCAACACTTCCCACTCGTGCAAGGGCAGAGCTCTGTTGAGCACCAGAGCATCCCAATGGATCCCAGATCCACCACCAGATCTGACATCCCCTGACAGCTGGAAACACCCCCTCCATCCCCATCCCACTTCCTCGTGCCAGCCCCACTCCAGTTCCACTCAGCCACATTTTCTCCCTGCAGGGTTCGATGCTCAGTGCCAACAGCATGTTCATCTCCCTGGGGAACTGTCCTTGCTGTTGTTGTTCCTTTGGGTTATCAGGCTGATCGAGCCTTGCCTTAAAAAAGTATCTGCTTGTTTGTTTTGGGCTTTGGGAACAACAATCACAAGATCTCCAGCAGGGAAGACGGCCTTGCTGAAATGAGGGAGACAGAGCAAACTTTATTTGCCATCCCAGGCTTCTCCTCAAGCCTCTCCAGGGCCTTATAATTTTGAAAGTGAAGGTTAAGGTTATTACTGCATGTTTTTTCCCTAAATGGATGGTGTAGAGGAAAAACTGATATAAGATAGAATATGAAAGAAAACCTTCTGAGCAGTTTGGAGGCAACGATCCATCTCCTCACTGGAAGACTCGAGGTGTCTGAATATTTATACTTCTATTGGCAGTTATAAAAAAAAACCAACCCTCTCCTTCCCTCCTTCCTACCTCCCCCCCTTTCCCCTTTTTAATCTCAGTACAGGCATGTTAGACGCCCTCAGTCAAAGATCTCCTTTGAACTGCTGTATGTTGAAATGTTTACAGTTTTACATTTCATATTTCAGCGGGGCGGAGGGGACAGGCACAACAGTCACACAACTGTGAATGCATGAGAGGGAGGAAAGTGGAGGCCAAGGGGGAGGAGGTTCAGTGGGAGAGGGGAGGGGAATCAAACAGCATCTTGGAAAAATTTAGACTCCTAAAAAAATAATAAAAATGTATATATATGTGTATATATATAAAATAATCCTTGGAGGTGTTGGCTTTGCAGGTGCATCCCCACCAAACCTGGCCTTGGGCATGAGTGGCTGGTTTGGGGGGGGATGCCCCTGGGGGGCTGTGTGGCACCAACCAAAAGGTATGGTTGTAGCCAGGGGTGACCACAGAGGCAGGGTGGGGCTGGGGTCCCACTCAGGACCCCACACTGGAGCTTGGCTGGGGCTGTGGGACCAGCAGGGGCTCTAAATGGGATGCTAGGGTCCCCCAGGGAGATGCTGTAACTCCCTCCCAGCCCTGTTCTTTCAGCCTCATCTGAGGGGATAATGTAGTTGGGTTGCAGAAAAAGGTGGGGGAGTCCTGGGATGTGTCTCTGGTTATGGGGGTGCTGCTGGAGGAGCTTGGCAAGGCTGGATCTGGGTACTGCCTGGTACACGAGGAGGGGGCAAATCTGGCAGCGCTTGGGCTCCATCCTTCCCTGGGCACAGGGAGGGACTGATGCTGCTGAATGATGGACAGGGACACAGCTCCACTGGGGGTGGGAACTCAGGAGAAACTGGGAAATGGACTGACAGGTGATGGGATGGGGCTGGGGGTGGCATTATCTGTCCAAAAAGCAGGGGAGCTGTGGGTATGGCAGCAGCTCAGCATGGGGACCGTGGGGAGACTTCATCCCAGCTGAGTGCCTGTTGGGAGCCTCCCCAGGGTTATATGGATAACCCAAACCATTCTATGATTCCATGATTTATACTGTCAGCTCTCCTCTTGAAAGCTTCCCTAGCCCTAAACTGACCCAATAAACCCTGCAGACAGCCAGGTCCTCTGGCAGACACCCTCCAGGCCTGGTGGATGGCTCTGCTAAATCCTTCCTTCCCTACAGACTAAACTTCCCAGGGTAATTCA